TTTTGGACCTTTATCACTAGATTATCAACCGTTACCTCCATTACCTCCATTACCAAGACGTCTCAATACAATACATAATTATCGTTCATTTATTGATGACTTTTACTCGGTCATTCCAGATTTTGTACCTAGTTTATTTGATAGTAGTGATGATGGTTTAGATTCAAGTAGCAATGGTGGTAGTGCTAATAACCATCATGGTGGTAATAGTGCTGGTGGTTCATTTTATCGAATATTATCTCCTATAGCAGGAAGATATGATTCTACTAGACTGACTACTTCAAGATTACCGCCAACAACAATAACAAACGCTAGTAGTAATAATTCTACCAGTAGTAATAATTCTAGTAACAATAACTCTTCATCTACAACAACGGATCAAACGACTTATGATTACGGTGAACTTTGTTAAAATTTTATCATTAAAAAAAAAAGAACAATTTACTATTAATTACCAGCAATAATTATAATAATCATAATATATTAATATTAGAATTTTTTTTGTTTGTTGTCTTTGTAATTAAATTTTTCTAAAAAAAAATAAATTTTTATGATCTTTATATATATATATCATCATCATTGTTATCTTATATATATATATATATAAATATAAAGAAGAATACTGCAAAATAAAATATTTTATCATCTCCATTTCAACAATGCATAAATAAATAAATAATAGGATTAATTAGAAAATAATTAAATTATTATTATTATGTAATTAAAATTATTTTGCCTCAAATATAATTTAATTTATCCTTTTACATATTATAATTATTATTGTTATTGACAGTTTTCACCCTCTTTTTTTCTTTATCTATAAATATCTTTTTTTTTTTTTTAGAGAAAATATGTAAAAACAATCAAAAAAATTTTATAATCAAATTTTAAAAAAAATAAAAAAAACAAATAAATAAAAAAATTTTTTTTTTAATTGTTTTTAATTTTTATTTGGCAAAAATTTGAAAAACAAGTATTTATTTATCACAATCACATTTTGCGCTACACAAATCATCACGGCTTTAATTTACATGTTCCTTAAATTAATTCTCTAAATTATTAATACTTATCTAATGGTATCTCCTTATTTAATATAGATGTCTAATCTATTATTTATTGTATTTCTAAATACTCAGTGAATAATCACGTTCAACCATAAATTAATACGCAATTGTCATCATTATTTCACAATTTTCGTGATCACGGCAGGAAACAAAACTGGGGAGTCGATAATGTAACCACCATCCTTTTATATCGAACATTGGAAACAAACAAAATCATCATCTTTTTTTTGGTGTATATTTTAAATATTTTAATCATATCACCAAGATTCTTTTTTTTTTAATTTAGATATAAACGGTTCCAATTATGCTTATTGTCGTCATAATAAAATTTTCGTCAGCAGATCAAGCTATGAAAATGTTCAATGGATGATTCGTTGAATCCCGGTAAATGTTCTTTGAGCACACTATATATACATCGGATCTCACCAATATAAAAAACATCTTCAAAATGTTCCACAACTGATATGTTTGTTTGTATTCATCAAAATGGTCTCCAGAAACAAAATACAAAACAATCTGGTACTATATTATCAAATAGATTTAAAAAGGTCCTGTACTCAATAATTTTATTATTTTTTGATTTTCTCCATCCAGAATGAGCAAGAAGACAAAAGTCTGTCATCCTTGGTTGAGGTTCTATTGCAAAACTTTTACATAAAAAATATTGATAATGTATTTTATGTATTCAGATAAATATACAAAGTCAATAAAGGGACTAAAAGCAAAATTTCCTCCGGAATATTTGATGTCCTCCTTTGAAGATAATTGCTAATATTGTCCAGATAATCGTCTGTTACAGTTATTATATTTACTGATAGATAATCATCGAGTACGAGTGAATTGATAAAAGGATAAATTGAAGACAATTATCTCTAGTTTTTAATTCTTAAAAAGCAAAATCAAATAATTCTAATAAGCTTAATCTTTATGTGATTTGGGAAGTCAGTATCATAACCATAAAACCAATCGTTTCTTCTTCTGTAAACAGAACCATATTCGATTTGCAATGTCCAGATTAGTATTAGTATTGGTGAGTGAAATTATTTCTTAAAAAAAAAAAGCAATTTCATATTAATATTAAGAAAGGTAATTTCGGCCACAACACGAGTATATCATGGTAGTTGCCATTTGATAGACTATTAGTTATTGATGGATGATCATCATTAATCTTGTTGTTTCTTGAAATTTAATTTCATGATTTTTAAAATTTTCATTAAAATATATTAAAATGAGGCAAATTTTCCTTCTTTGCAAAATCAATCAAAATTTACAAAGGATAAATTATTTGAAAAGGTATTAAAAAAAACCCCCCTATTAACGCAGAATCTCACTTTAACGGATCATTTAACGGATCATTTTTTTCGTTATATTGATGGTTATTATTATATAATAATAATACAACGGCCAATCTTTTAATTCATTTAAAAATTTGGAAATTCAATAGTATAATCAATAAAAAACATTGTTCTAAAAATTGATATTGAATAGTCTTGTCTACCTCCCTTTCTAATTGCTAAGTTTTCATTCTGTGCCCATTTCTATTTATGGAGTACTTTAAACAATATAAATAATCAGCGTAACATTTTATATCCGAACTTTGTTGTTTTTGTAATAGTAATTAATTCTGTAATAGAGATTATTATTTTTATTATGGCGTTGTACCGAATTGGTCTAACCGTAACTGAATAGATCGTCACAAATTCTGGGAAAATAATTCATTATAAAACTACCAAATTTAGTAATATAAATACCATGTATCCTTATTATTATTGATATAATTACTCATTTTACTCTTTTGATTTAAAATCTTTTATTATTATCGCTTAAAAACCGGTGGTGTTGTTTTTGTTGTAATTTGTTTTTGGAATGTTTATTTTTTAATTACAATAAAAATTTTTTTGGAAATTTTATTTAATTTTAAAAAATGCACACTTGATATAACAGTAATATCTCATGAATAATATTTTTTGCTATGTCTGTATAAAAATAATCAATATCAATCAATCAATGAATAATAGCGTCAGCATTAATTATAAAATGAGTGGATGTATGTATGTGTGGTTTTTTGGCCTTTATAGATCGCTGCTGAGGTATGAAAGATAATGGTAATAATAATACCTCTTCAAATATAATATCCATCCCTTGATGTTAGCTTGATACAATCATGATCTAAACATAACCGAATTTCGTTTTATTGTTGGCGAATCTCAAGATGAAGAAAAAAATTTTAATCTTTTTAATTTATTAACACCGGCATTCTGGAATTAACAAATATAAATTATCTATTTGGATAATAATTTAAAAAAGTGTGAAGAAATTCAATAATTGTCCTTTGATGATGTTGCATTCGGACCAAAGGACTATTCGTTTGGAAACCATTTTTAACAACTTTACGAGCATATAAATATTGGTGGTGTTGGCGTTGGTGTTGGGAATTGGTTATTATTATCATTTTATTATTTTTGATGTCGAGGATGAAGATTGATTATTATCATCATTTTTATCATTGTTGTTTAGTTCAAATGCAGATAAACATCAAGTAAGATTTAAACCTAATGATCGGTGATGTTCACACTTTTAAAAGAATTTATCTCGGCACATTGTCATTGAGCAAAGAGGAGAGGGGAGCTAAGTTATATATCGATATCTCAAGAAAAACACGACTTTCATAGATAATAAAATTTACTAATTTAATTCCACAAAAGACTTGGGAATGATTGTGATGGCAAATTCATCGTTAGGATTTAACTTATGCAGTGAATGTGTTGCTATTTTGTGTGCAAGTTGGTATTTATTGTTTTGTGGAGAAGAGATTCCTAATGTCATAAGCTATTACGGTTCATTCACCTAACTTCTTTAGAATTTCTATTTACATAATTGAATTGAGGATTTACAAAGCACTCTCGTTTAAGACTTCGAACGAATCAACGAATCCAAACCGACTCGAATCATCAAATCTTTGATTTGATTCAAACTGATTCGAACTTGTAAATAATTTAAACAATTTGATTTATATTTATTATTTAAATGAATTGTGCAACTGTAAATTTACTTTTTTGTTATCGTCATTAATGTAACACAAATTCCTACTCAAATTATTCGCTTTATTCCATTTATTCGAGTTATTCGAGTTATTCGAGTTATTCGTTTTATTCAAATAAACATTCAATGTATTTATTTCGAATAACCAAATTCATAATGGATAAAATAAATCATTCGGATAAACCTTATTCGAATCGAAACCTAGTGATGTTGGACGGCCCGCATTTTATTATAATGGATTCACATGATCTAAATAAAAATCTCAAAATAAAAAAACTTGCATTGTTTAAAATAAAAACTTATGATCATTTAAATCTGATTTCTCTCTTTAAAAAATCAACTTTGATCCTCATATAATTGAATTTTCTTGATTTATATCCACCTAATTCAAGTTCTAAATTAATTTATTTTGTTACGTTGTTTTAAAATGTCATTAGATAAGAGAAAATCTTTAACTACTCTGATAAAAAGAGAGGTTTGTTTAGCAAATCGGGCAACTCTAATTCCAACAAACAAAGAATTAGCAAGGAAATTTTTGAGTTCAAGGATTCCCCATATTTTTATTAATAAGGAACCTTTGCCTTCCACAAAGATCTGCCAAGAGCCTCTGACAAAATATCCCAAAGATTTCCTGATTTACTTTAGAGAATCCTTCTATATTTATATGATACAAATTACATAATGCTTATTTTGAACCACATTAAAAATCAATATGCAATTATACAAATTTATCAATTTATATTAATGTAATAATAGCAATAAAGTATAATCTATTATTTTAATATAATCAAATTTATTATTATTATTACTATTATTATATTATGAGTTCTCAGTATTATAATCATCAAATAGACCATTATGAACTTTTATATCACTATTCTCATTGTCCTTTTTTTACATATTTACAGTTTCGTGTTTAAATTCTGATTCATTACCATCTGAATCTGTAACATAACCTTTACCAAGTTCTTTTTGTCTGATAGATTTGGTGATATCTGCAATTATTATTTGTGAATTATTTATACAATCCTATATATAAAGTAATAATTAGTAATAATATATAGTATATATTAAAAAATGAATATTGTAAAATAGTAATTTTACATATCACGGAAAATAAAATCATGTATTTTTCCGCAAAAAAAATCCGCAAATTTGCGCAGCACCATGAAAATATCCAATTTTATTGGTGGGTTGGACGCGTGTTATCCTTATTTAGAAATTGATTTTGATAGTTTTTGCGGAAAAATACATGATTATACGGAAATCAATAATAATAAATAAATCAGAAATGATTTTAATTTATAAAATTTGCATTTGCACGGAAAATAACGGAGAAATAAATATTCTACTAAAATGTAACTCTCATATTAATTAAATTTTAAGGAATATCCTATATAACAGAAGGGAAAATATTATTATTATATACAGAAAGGATCTTTTTACGGAATATACAGGACCTACCAAAAATGGCAATTCATTATATAAAAAAGGAAATAGCACAAATTTTTGTAACTTCCTCGTGACAGTTATCTATATGTGACGATTAAACTTGTGAGGCTTGGGTGGTAGGAATTATGGACTGCTTACCAACTTCAAAAATAAATTCTTATTTGGGCACATAGGTTCTGTATATTTCATAAAAAGAACCTTTCTGTATATAGGATGACCCGAAAATTTAAACGAAGGAATTTAAATTACTTGATTAAGACTCGGAATAACTTGATAACAATTCTACACGGAAGGTTCAAATAACGTTTAAGGAATACATTTGATTAGGATAAATTAGGATTTCAAAGAAATCGGAGAACTAGATGATAAAACCTTTAACATGCATAAATAACATCGTAATTTGTTTAACTTCATGTATCATCTTAATCATCTTTATCATTATCATAAAAATCGTATAATAATTTAACAAATAACAAACTTGTACTTTGTCCTTGTTTTGTAATGATAATAAATCTAGCTCTAACAATAAATTCATTCTAATCCTGTACATAATTATTTCTCTTATTTTTTATTTCTTTTCTTTTCTTTTATTTTAGTAAGGTAATATTTAATAAATTTTATTTAGTAATTTTGGATACGTACCTGGCTTGGTAGTGAAGAAGAAAACAGCTACGGTGCAGATCATCTATAATCATTAATTGCTAATAGTAACAATTGGTCAACTTCAAAATACTAAAGCAAAAAAAAATTATATCATTTTAAAAAATTTAAGCGATAAGTTTTATTGTTCATGACTCAAGCTTCAAACTTATCGGCTGGTTTTTTCTTAAACTGAAAATTGGCAGAGCCTTAGCATTTTGAAAATTCCGAATTTTGTTATTCATTTAAGAAATTGAGACTAAGTAAATTTCGTGTAACAACTTTTTTTTCATGGAATATTTTCTACAACATACATTTGATTTATTTGATTTATTATTTCCTTTTTTTATTAATAAATAAAAGTTCTTTACAACAAAAAAGTTTAACGAACATATTACATTAAAAGAAAATCATTACCAAATTTGGTCGTGAGATTCAAAATATTGTAACACGAAAATTATTGTTGCACTTCTGAGCATAACTTTCAAATTTAAAAAACCTATGAAAAGAAAATTTGAGACAAATTTTTTTTTTAGATTAATAGACTCCCCTTTTAAAGCTGAGTTGAATGGTGGTAAGTTTTTTAAAATCCAATGTGTGGAACACATAATATTTCAAAAATTTTAACTTTTGAGTATAGATGATCCGCACTGTATGTTTTACACCTCCTATAGATCGGCGGGAAATGTCCTGTGACTGTTTTGAAAATTTATCCGTTAAACACCTAAATCCGCTAAATCGAGGTCCGTTAAATCGAGACTCACTGTGTAATGCTAAAAATAAACAAACGATTTCAGAATTATTAGAAAGCTAGTACCATTGCAAGAGTAGAAAAAAAAAAAATAATAACAAAAATGGTATTTTTAATCTCCACTTGACTGCAATTTAATGAAATATCTGGAAAAGTCAATTTAACTGAACAAAAAAGAATTGTTACTAAATGTAACAGGCCGTTATATAATAGGTTACTAGAATTAGAAATTAATTTCACCCAACACCCCATCCTGTATTTTCTCCTGCCAAATCTAAATGCAAACTCTGGTAACCTGTTATATAACTGCCCATTAGTTACATTTAGTAGTTTACAAAATTATATAATTATATATCTTGATTAAAATAAAATAAACAAACATGATATTGCTATTTAATACTTTCCTCACATGTGAATCCTTTTGTCTCCACATCTATCACAATGTTCATGATGATTATTATGATTATTCAATACATTTTGATGTTGTCATTAACATAACAAAAAATTGCATCACCTGAGTAATAAATAATACCAAGGCCATGCAGAAATGAAAATTTTAAGGAACACGATTTTGAAACAATAATATGTGTGTTTACCCAAATCTCTAGGGATTCGCAAAAAATAAATGAATAAGGAAGATCAATAAGAAAATTTTCTCTTTCTTGTATAGTTCCTTAAAAAACCATGAATAATAAATCTGATGTTGATCACAGGTGTCAGATTTAATTAAATTTTCCTGTCACAAACATGCAAGACGGTGCAATTAAGCACAGTTCAGCACCATGGAATTTTTTCCCACAGGTGAAATAGTCTTTAACAAGTTGGAAGGCTTTGGACAAAACATTCCCTTTATCTTCCTCTCAGACCAGGCTGGCTGTGATCACTGATAGCTGGTGCTTGGGTGATGATTGCTTTGTGTTACCCCTCTCTAGAATAAAGTTGGTGTCTGCAACTAGTTCAAAATTCTCCAATGCAGGAGAGTTTTTGTTTTGGATTCAGAGTTTTGAGTCTTGGGTTGCTGTCTTGTTGGTGGCATGCCTACTCACCAACAACCCTACCCCCATTTAAATTCAGTTGGTCAAATAAAAATTAAAGAAACAGAAAATGATTAATTTATATATAACATACCAAACAAAATAATCATATTTTTGAAAAAAAGGTAGTTTTGGCCAATACTATGGTAACCCAATATTTTTTATAACAACAATCATATGATAAATATCTAAATCAACTTACTTTACTTTAGAAGTGGGTCGTTGCAGGAAACTTTTCAGCTAACTTGTCAGCTTTCTCTAGTCTGGATGCTGTGAGAGAAGATTATCAAAAATGTCCTTGACAATTGATGCAGTTTCGATAAATTCCAGGGCCATACGCCCCCTCCCTGGAATTTGGTAGCATCATATCATCAGGGGATGAGGTCAGATTAACCTTGTGCACAAGGAACGTGTGAGAATGACTGTAACATGTTCAAGGTAGTGTGCGTGCTTCAATGTCTGTAGATTTCCGATATTTGAATTGTTTTATATTTGAATTGTTTCTTTTTCAATGGTGTGCTGCCTTGACATGTAATTATTTATTATTTAATATTAATATTGATTACAAAAGGCTCATTTACTATTGATGAGAATCTCATAATTACCCAGCAAGATCTGCTCCACGCTTTGATTTCAACTATAATATTTATATAAAATAAGACATATCAATGCAAATTAAAAAAAAGTTGCCTCTGGTTAGTTATTAACATGTCTTCAGAATCATGCCAAACAACATCACTCACGTTTTGTCATTTTTAAAAAATAATTGTTTTCCCAAAAAAAAAAAAAAAAAATCAATCGTGTCAACAAAAAAAAATTCATTGTACGACACCAAGTGCCAATAATAATATTTATATTACGCGTTTGTTGCGTAGTAATAGTAATAGGTGGACATTCATTGTTTCACGAAAAGGTTACACATAAACAATAAATTTATTTAATCTGTGGAATGCATATATATGGGTTTTAACAAAGTTGGCTTGCTTATTTCTAAGGCTAGCCATTTGGTAACATAGAATCTTTGATACAGCATATCAAAAAAACCTTTTAACGAAGGATCTCTTTCTTTGATCATTTTTATGGATTCATCAGGATCATTGATAATTTTGTTTTTTTCACGATGTTAATAATTATATAAAACAGAAGAAAGCCTTTTTATTTGATCATTAAAAAAATAAATAAAAGTTGATATTTGATAACCTTTAATATGTTGATTTGATGGTCGAGTGATTTTTTCTAATTCTGCTTTTAATTCTATAACTTGATTCTGTAATTCCTGTAAAGTTAAATTAGATGTGTTGATATTTATTTCCATTTCCTTCCTCCATATGGTCTTATAATATCTATTATTTCTAATGTATATTAATATGTATGTGTGTAAACGTGAATGTGATGTATATGTAAACATGAATGTATAAAACGTCCGCTGTTACCAAATTGTAAAGAATTTGCAAAAACGAATTTAAATACTCTCTTACAAATATTTTAATTGTGGTAAAAATATATTCTCCATTTTAAAAATAATATCCTATTTATAATGATAAAAATAAAAGATAATCAATCTCATCTATTTAAATGTTCTAAACATAATTGGTAAAAATAATTAATATTATTAATACATAAACTTAATTTGTCACTAAAACATTCTTTAATTAATAGTGCAATAAAAATAAGATCTTATAACAAATCTTAGGAATAATTCGCAATCTTTATTTAAAAAATAAAAATGTACAATCAAGAAATTAGAAAAAGGAGAAAAAATGACGGAGAACGACGAGGAATAAACGAGTAAGTGTTTATCATAATAATGGGGGTTATTGACACTTGTCGCGTCAGACTAAGTGACTTGCACTATATATAATAATTTTGATTTTTTTAATATTACAAGAAAAACTCTTGACAAAGTAAATGAAGAAATCATTCATGGGTAAGTGTTATTCGTTAAAAAAGAATGGTGGTGGTGGTTATGATGCATCACAACTTGTTGTCATTCTAGCTTCCAGCTATAATAATAAACTTTGTTTTTTTTTAAATAGTGCTGCTCAAAACGAGCTTTCAGAAATAAAAAAAGTTCAAGAGGAATCGTCAAAAATCATTGCTGAATTGGAAGATAAAATCTCGAAATTTAAAAAAATTCAAGAGGAATCGTTACAAGCCATTATAGAAAAAATCAAAAAATTCCAAGAGGCATCTTCACAAACAATTGTTAAATTGGAAGACGAAATTTTAGATTTGAAAAAAAATTCAAGAAACATCATTACAAGTTATTACCAAGTTCGAAGATATTTCAACAACACAGGTCTCAAAACCCGAAGTAATCACTGCTAAACCAACAGAAATACCAAAAAATCCTGAAATTCATACAAAAATTTATGAAAGCATAAATAAACCTGAAGAATCATTTAAACTTCGAGTAAAACAAGCAAGGATGAGTACTTTTATTCAGCCAACCACAGATACCACAGATTATCAAATTAAAAAACGAAAAAAAAAATTAAAGGACGATCATGTGTTAAATAAATTAGTGGAAAACAACATAAATAATTTGCGACAGGAATTGAAAATGTCTATGGAATTAGATGAGAGAAGTAAGTATATGGCGAGATCACTTTCAATACAAAAAAATATTATTTAATACCATACATATTATTTATTATAATTGCAAATATTAATATTTTCGAATAACATTATATATTATTATGAGCATGTTATTAGTTTAATACATATTTAACACATGATCGTCCTTTAATTTTTTTTTCGTTTTTTAATTTGATAATCTGTATCTGTGGTTGGCTGAATAAAAGTACTCATCCTTGCTTGTTTTACTCGAAGTTTAAATGATTCTTCAGGTTTATTTATGCTTTCATAAATTTTTGTATGAATTTCAGGATTTTTTGGTATTTCTGTTGGTTTAGCAGTGATTACTTCGGGTTTTGAGACCTGTGTTGTTGAAATATCTTCGAACTTGGTAATAACTTGTAATGATGTTTCTTGAATTTTTTTTCAAATCTAAAATTTCGTCTTCCAATTTAACAATTGTTTGTGAAGATGCCTCTTGGAATTTTTTGATTTTTTCTATAATGGCTTGTAACGATTCCTCTTGAATTTTTTTAAATTTCGAGACTTTATCTTCCAATTCAGCAATGATTTTTGACGATTCCTCTTGAACTTTTTTTATTTCTGAAAGCTCGTGAGCAGCACTATTTAAAAAAAACCAAAGTTTATTATTATAGCTGGAAACTAGAATGACAACAAGTTGTGATGCATCATAACCACCACCACCATTCTTTTTTAATGAATAACACTTACCCATGAATGATTTCTTCATTTACTTTGTCAAGAGTTTTTCTTGTAATATTAAAAAAATCAAAAATTATTATATATAGTGCAAGTCACTTAGTCTGACGCGACAAGTGTCAATAACCTCCATTATTATGATAAACACTTACTCGTTTATTCCTCGTCGTTCTCCGTCGTTTTTTCTCCTTTTTCTAATTTCTTTGATTGTACATTTTTATTTTTTAAATAAAGATTGCGAATTATTCCTAAGATTTGTTATAAGATCTTATTTTTAATTAAAGAATGTTTGTGACAAATTAAGTTTATGTATTAATAATATTAATTATTTTTACCAATTATGTTTAGAACATTTAAATAGATGAGATTGATTATCTTTTATTTTTATCATTATAAATAGGATATTATTTTTAAAATGGAGAATATATTTTTACCACAATTAAAATATTTGTAAGAGTGTTTAAATTCGTTTTTACAATTTGGTAACAGCGGACGTTTTATACATTCATGTTTACATATACATCACATTCACGTTTACACACATACATATTTATATACATTAGAAATAATAGATATTATAAGACCATATGGAGGAAGGAAATGGAAATAAATATCCACATCTAATTTTACTTTACAGGAATTACAAAATCAAGTTATAGAATTAAAAATCACTCGACCATCAAATAAACATATTAAAGGTTATCAAATATTAACTACTATTTCCTATTTTTTATTTTTTATTTATTTTTTTAATGATCAAATAAAAAGGCTTTCTTCTGTTTTATATAATTATTAACATCGTGAAAAAAACAAAATTATTAATGATCCTGATGAATTCATAAAAATGATCAAAGAAAGAGATCCTTCGTTAAAAGGTTTTTTTGATATGCTGTATCAAAGCATGAACCCTTCTTCAAAAAATTATTCTACAAAAATAAGCCTAAAAAAGGTAATGATTCTATGTTACCAAATGGCTAGCCTTAGAAATAAGCAAGCCAACTTTGTTAAAACCCATATATATGCATTCCAACAGATTAAATATCATCTAATTAAATAAATTTATTTTTATTTATTTAAAATAACCAGATGGTAAGTATTATATTATAAATTAACTTTTACAACAGAAAATAACTATCAAAACGTCATCTAATTCAGTCTGGGATTACAGTCAAACCTCGATAAGCCGAACTTTTGGGAATAGGATCCGATACAAACAGGGCTGGCAGCATAAAGGGTTAAAAGCCTAATTTAGTAATAATCATCTTGACTAAACTTGATTGTTGGGTGATCGACCATTTTTAAACCGAATTTTATCATTATAAGACGAATTTTTATGATCATATTCGGCTTAGAAAGTTAGATTTTATTATTTTGTACAAACCATTAAGTTCGTTTTATCAAGTAAAGTAGAAATTATAATAAAATTCGGCTTAATATTAACGAAATAGTTTTTATTAAATATGATTTCCGTGACTATGAAATGTGCAGTATGTAGATCATTGCTTTTTTTAAATTTTGATTTTTAAATTCGATTCAAAAAAATTTTGGTTACCCCCAAGAATTTATTTTTGTACTAAATAAATCACATCTAATTTTTTCACAAATTATAGTCATGATATTATAGTTTAATATCATGCAAAAAAATTTTTTTTGACCAAAAGTCTCGAAACCTGGTTTTCCTAGAGCGCCCCCATATGTACTTCCATTAATTAAAAAATATGCCTTTTGTTAGATTTCTCATGCTATCAAGAGATATGTACATGTTGGCCATAATCTAGATGAAGGAAGGAAAATAGAAGAAGCAATACATAGATTAAAGGGGACCTCTATTGCTCAACTTGTGCCAGCACGCCAAAATCAAAATCACAAAGTGAAAACGATTGATGGCATTACAAAATTGTTTTACTTTGAATGGCCAATTGAAGGTGATTATGCTAGATTTATGCGAGCTCAATGTCTACCACACATAGGAGAATTTCTACGGTTTTCACCATTAGAGACAACATCTATAAACAAGCCATCACCACTAATTTCAATCCCTGAAAAACAGTGGAATACTTCATTGTTTTATGTTCAAGGTAAAATCAAAAAGATGAATTATATTTTTTTTTTATATTATAAATACTACACAAATGACTGTAAGTGTATATACTACTATGCAGTAATGCAGACAGTTATCCACAATTATCTTTGCACCATTTCTCATTATTTTAATTTCATTGTTGCACAATTTGCCAAGCTGATAATTCATTAGTTCCTTTAGAGGTATACAATCATTGCTAAAACATTTTCTCTTTTGAATCTAAATAATAATTTTGGTACTCTCTATTCAAAGGAGCATTTAATCGATATGATCAATGGTCAAGGCAACATAATTTTTGCCAATATACTATTAATATTCAACCATCATGCCTCTACAGTGATACTTCAGTCTTCTACAACTTTGCCTGATCCCATTTCTCAAGATGTTATTTCGAAAGCAGTTTTATATTAATGATTAAAGGTTATTTTAAACTATGAAATAATATCAATATCATGAATTTTGCAAATTTTATATATTCTAATAAAACAACTCCATTATTAATTCTTGGTCATGATAAAGGTGTTTCAATTATTATATTGTTGTGCAACGTTTAAAATTTGGGTCGATCTACGCATAGAACGCGATGGTTTAGTGTGTAACTTAACTTTCCTTTCATATTCTTTCTTGTATGATAAAGAAGGTTTGTTAAATTTCGTGATATATTGACAGAATGGTTTTAACTGGAAATTTCTAATTATTTTACAATGTCAATAAATGATTTTATATATTTTATTATGTTTAATTAATTTTAATTAATAAAAAAATTTTTTCAACTTTTTCAATTTCAATTAATTACATGTTCTCTTTGATGATCTAAAAGAAAATAAATAAATATGACTTATTTTGACAATAAAGATATTCAAGAACTTTCGAAAACAGTAGAAAATGATTCATTAAACAATAATTATTCTAAACCTGAAAATGTAAACAATGAA